TTTTTTAAAAAGTATTTTGAGATATTCCCATGGCACAAAATTCACCCTTTAAGGTGTACAATTCAGTGAGTTTTAGAACTGAATTCAGAGCTGAGCAACCATTACTATTCCTAAATTCAGAAAATTACCATCACTCTCAAAGAAACCCAACAGGCACTAGCACTCTTCATCACCTCCTGCCACAGGCTTTGGTCTATGGTAATATCCCTTCTGTTTCTATGAATTTGACCATTCTAGGCATTTTCATAATAGAATGATATAATAAGTGATCATTTGTAACTGGCTTCTTTCATTTCTTTTTACGTTTTTGAGGTTCATTCATGTTGTAGAATGTGTCAGAACTTCATTATTTTTATTTCCAATTAATATTTTATTACATGGTTATATCACATTATTTAAATTTCTTATTAATATTATTTTTGCTTGACAAATCATAAATATATACATTCATGGCACACAATATGATTTTTAAATTTTTTTACAGTACAACTTTATTGCCTGTCCCATCCTCATGTTGCACATTAGACCTCTAGACTTGTAAATCCCACATCTGCTACTTTGCATCCTGATTTCTAGCCTCTCCATTTCCTCTTCACCTCACCTCCACCCTTTCATCTCTGTGTCTGAATGTTTGATTCTTATTTTTAGAACCCACATGTAAGTGAGGTCATGCAATGTTTTTCTTTCTGTGTCTAATTTATTTCACTTAAGCTCCAGGTTCTTTTGTGTTGCGGCAAATGCCAAGATCTTGTGTGTTTTTAGGGTTGAATGGTATTCCTCTATGTGTGTGCGCACACACTTTTTTATACAATCATCTGGCAGTGGACACTTTGGTTGTTTCCATAGCTACTGTGAAGAATGCTGCAGTAAACCAGGAACAACTGCGCCACTCAGTTTTGCATCCTTTCACAGCTTCTTTAGGCGTAAGGTTGAGCCATATAAAATTGTCATTTTGTAGGTGAAAAGAGTAGAATCCAGCATTTCATGTAATTCAGACTGTCTCGATTGAGACTTTTATTGCTTCCTTTTCCTCCCTCCCTCCCTCCCCTCTTCCTCCCTCTCTTCCTCCCTCCCTCTCTCTTTCTCCTTCTTTCTTATTTCTCTCTCCTCCATCTATCTTCTTCTTTCTGTATATTTGACCACAGAAGACCAGCTTTGTTTAAGGGAAAAATGACATCTGTAGAAAAACGGGACAGGTCATGGGAAAGGCATGATTGCAGTTTCATTACTGTCATCAAGAAAAGCATGGTTGGGAAGATGAGATGAGTAAAGGCTCCTAGGAGGGAAGAAAGATATGCTTCCATTTTCATTCCTAAAGAGTTTAGAGAGTGACACACAAATGCACAGACCAGTATATTCAGGGAATACAATGAAAGGTCTTTCAGGAGAGCCATAGACGTGAACAAATGGAATGTGGGAATATAGCTAAATCAGCTTCTTACAGACACCTCTGGCAGGAAGCAGGTACACAGAGGGGTGGAGCCATGGTGTCTTACCCAACTGAGGAAAACAGGTATAAAGCGAAGGAAGGCTTCAGTTTACTTCTATCTTCCTTTACTGAAGTTCAGTGATGTGGTTCCCCTTTGTTTCCCACCCCTGGAACCTGTGAGTATTTGAAATGTCTGTATTGTGCAAATGAACTAAAGATGGTGCTAAGCCAACATCCAAAAGAGGAAGGGTAAGGAAAGTCCAACAGTTTAGGCTCATAGGTATAAATAAGAAAAATCTAAAAATTGTTGGAAGTCTCTAAATTACTTCTCATCTTTTATTCTTAGAACATGACATACTTAAGGGTAGTAATTGTATTTTACATATAGTGTGACAATGGAAAAAAGAAAACAGAAAAGAATATACCAACTCATTCTCATTTACTTAACGAAGTGTCCCAGAGAGTATTATATGTTTTTGGAAGCTGTGCTATTTTTTAGGCTGACCAGGATTTTTTTTTTTTTTTTTTGGTGCTTTGTAAGATCTTTATAGAGTTTGATTCATATTTAAAGAAATGTCAGTCTCGTGTATCATATTTTGTGTTCAGAAATGAATTGATGACAATATATTAAAATAAAACATCCATTGTGAAAAATCACCTTATTGCTCAAAATCACTGAAAAAACCCAGACATTTAGCATATATCATATTTAAAAGGATACTTTTTTGGGGGAAGGAATCCAACCAGCATTCAGGATTCACTAAGATCTAAAATCTCTTATTATCTATGGCAACCATATATACTTACATGATTTTTCCTATTTATAGCTGAGGTATGGGGGAAAAAGGATGGTGACAGTGGCAGCCAATGTATTGTAGACACTTAAAAAAGCTGTACGGCCCTTTCTATAGATGAGTTAACCTAAAATCAATGAGTCATAAGAACTGAATATTGGAAGAAAAATCTTTTTGGGGGGAGGTACTGGGGATCGAATGCAGGGCCTTGTTCATGTTAAGCACATGTTCTACCACTGAGATACCCCACCATCCCTGAAAGGAAATCTTTGGAAAAGAAAAAAACAGTAAAACATCAAGGTCAAAATCTTAGCCACAATTTTTACTGAGTAATTCAGAAATATTTTAATAAATATTGTGCCCCCCAGTGGTGGTTTTTGGGTGATGTTCTTTTCTTTTTCTTTTTTTCTTTCCTTTTTTTTTTTCTTGTCCCCTGGCTCTCAATTTTCTAGCTTCCTTGGTTTGGGTAACTCCAGGAAAGGTTCACATTGTCTGTATACAGGAGGAAACTGGGGAGACTGGCTTAATTTGATTGTCCAATTTCTTGCTTGCAGAAAGAATGATGCCAGTGTTGATGGAGTGCCTGGGATACCATGATTAACAAGATAGGTCCCCAAAAGGGCAATCAGGCTTGATTCATCTGATTGCCAGGCTGGAAATGAAAAAAAAAAAAAGCTGTTGACATAATTACCCCACACTTTTTAGACCTCAAATACAGTCTGGTACAGATATCAAGCAAAGGTGGTTATCAGAATGATTGCAGTGTGTTTTGAAAAGGAAGACTGCTGCTTTGGCAAATAAAAAAGTTTACAAAAATCAAAGATGAAGTATAATACTAGAATCTGTTTTGCCTGCAGCATATGAAAAGAGAAAGAAATCTCCTTGGTGAGAGAGGACAAGCAATGGACTGGTTGGACAGCCAGACTGGTGCCTCTGTTTCAGGAGCTTAGTCAGACTCACTAGGGGTTAGTGTTTTCACCTACAAAGGGTGTAGTGAGGTTGAGTGGTCTCCAAGAGCCCAGTGCGTGGTCAGCAGCAAGGAGGAACAGGACCAGTTTCAAACAAAAGGACCAAAATTTGAATATTTATGAATGCAAAATTAACCAATGATCAAAAAGTGGGGAAGAGACAGAACAAAAATATAGATGCATCTTAATGAATTCAAAACACAATATAAAACCGATAAAGATGGCTCTTCCAAGGAGGAAAATAACGAGCATATTGTTTTGTCTGTAGATTTCCTCTACTGTAGTCTTGTTCCTTCTTCTCTACCATCACCGTATTTTTTTCTCCTTTCTGCTTCCGGTAACCATGGTGATGCTTCCTCCCAGCAACCTTCCTTGCAGCTGGCCCTTTTGGTACACACCGAATTTTACTCCATTCACTGGTTGCAGGGTGCTAACAATGCCATAGAATTAATAAATTTATTAACATTTTCTCCTTCCCTTGTCTCCAGGATAAAATGGAGGGAATTATTGTACACTTAACCTCCCTACATAAGGGGCACTGTAAAACAGGGATATTCAACTGTTAATTTCAGTTGCTAACATGAAGGCGATACTGATTATGCTGAAGATTCAGTCTGCTATACTGGCCCTCAGGGACTGCAGAGCCTCAGTGTGCAAACTGGTTGCCACCTCCTTTTTTATGGAACTGGAATGAAATAGATTGCTTATGGAAGTCCCATAACCCTTGATTTCCTCATCTTTTAATTCTTTGTATACTCCCTTGTAAGAAAAACACTGTCAACTGTGTAATTATCATAGTTACAAGGATTTTCTGTAGGAAAAAATGTGTTTCTTTAATGAACACATTTATTTTGGAACATTAAATAAGCAATATGCAATAGTTTAAAAAATATTGTATTTATCTGCCAATTACAAAACATCAATGAACCTCTAATGTCCTTCATGCAGATATAAAAACTCTCATAAACTATCATTTAGTCAAGTCCAGTTTGGTTAACTTCACTTGTTTGTAATCCTATATGGCCGAAAACTGTCTATTTAAGCTGTGTGTGTGTGTGTGTGTGTGTGTGTGTGTGTGTGTGGCGTTAACACAAAGGAGACCAGATGGTGACATTCATAGGCTTATAACTCGACTCCTGGGGACACACTTGGATGGAGGCAATTAAAATGCCTATCAGGCATTTGGTACCAGAAGCCCGATGGTGAACTGCTAAATCGTAAGCCAGGGCTGCATCCTATTGTCAGTGAATGATGGCGGAGCTGAGTGGCTTGTCATCATTCTCGAAAATTCTGAGACTAGTGAGCTCTCTCTCCCTCTCCCACTCGCCTTATTTTCCTTTTCGCCACTGCGGGGACTTTTTCTAATTTGCAGCTTCCCTTTCCCCAACACACACTGACACGAAGCTGGTGGCTTGCAGGCTGCGTCTGTCTGGAGCTGGAGCCAGAGAGCCAGCCAGAGAGAGAGAGAGAGCTCCTGGAGAAGGATTCTGCAGCAGTTCTTAAGGACTGGGCTTGGGAGATATTGCTGCATTTGTGCTGGTAATGGTTTGGGGTTTTTACCTTTTCTTTTCTTTTATTTCTAATCCGATTTTCAAAGGATCTGCTTTATATGATCTTTGAATGCTTTTAAAATTCATTTTTTAGCTTGAAAAAATTCAAGTGCTGCATTTTTTTTTTTGTACCACAGATCACAAGGCATAGATTTATTATCTGGATATAAAGAATGAATTTACTTGATGGTGAGTTAAAATTTTTGATATTTAGTTAACAAATCTATCTACGTGTGTGTTTTTTCTTTTGTTTTGGTAGATTCTTCAGCTTGTCTGTAATCAAGGAAGCATTGATTGGGAACTACTCACTCAGAAAATTAAAAGGTACTATATGTTTTGCTTGGATGTTTAAATGAGGGAAAATCAGGGAAGAATAGGAATGTTTTTATTCCAGTTAGTCTCTTTCTGGTTGGTCTTTTATCCTTAAGCCTACTTTGAGCATTGTCTATGCACGATTTCCTAGGTAGATAACACTAGCAACAAGGATCGCTTTGATTAGAAGATGTCTAAAAGATTGTCTTTTGTCTATGTTGCAAGTTATTAACAAATATCAACATATCTGGTTCAATTTTATCATTTGGATTTTATCATTGTAACAGTTTCTCTAAAGTCTGAAATTCTCTGTCTTAATGAAAATTATTAATTTGAATTAAAGATAAATATACTAAGTAGTGCTTTTATCTGAAGGTTTCCTGCTGATAAGTGAATTTAAAAGAAAAAAAAAGACTAAATGAAAATGACTTGCCCTTCCCAGATAAAATGAGCATTAGAGACTAAAGCCCAGGAATGACTCAGTATTGTTGGATTTTGCAAATAAAACCTTGTAACTTCTTCACTGATGTTTCAATCTTCAGCAATGGATATATTGAAAGGTTTAGGTTGTTGCTTCTTAAAATAATTGATTTTACATATGCTGTATTCAGAATCCACAGCATAAGAAAGCAATCCTTCATCTTGCCACGAGAGCAGTTGAATCCATTGATCCTGGGCCTTATGCCTTACATGAAAAATATTAATTTTCAAATTATATTGATTTCAGAAAGCAATTATGAGTATTACCTTTTCTTTAATTCTTTAACATTGTTTTTTACTTTACATATGTTCATGTCCATAAATCCCGTATTTTTAGTTTGCCTTTTAAAAAATGGAAGACATTTTCTGCCTTGCTGAGAAGATCAATAATGCCTCGTAAATCTTCACTTGGCTTTCCTATAGCATTTTCTCTCAAGACTGTCAGTCTTCATACAGTAGGTTTAGTTTTTTGTTTTTTCTTTAAATATGTTTTGAAAATGCTCAGTGGCCAACTACTGACCCTGAAATGCCATAAGTATGCGTGTGTACACCTGTGATGTGAGTACTGATTGCAGCTGAGGGATACTCATGCGTTGTTCTTGGTTAATTTTCTCTGCAATTAAAGACAGCCTTAATATATTCATTCCACAAGCGTTTCTGAAGAGCCTTGCTTCCATGGGTAGTTACTATGCAAGAGAGGGAAAGGACTGATGACACTGCCTACAGCCAGAGCAAAGACAGCATCATATATGAGTATCTAACCGAATGAATTTGTTAAAATAAAATAGTGTGTTCTCAAAAAAGAAACTACATCATTCAGATGTTGAACACTTTTCCAGTCTTAGAGACAGATGAAATTATATTCAATGGTATCATATATGAAATCCTAAACAAGACTTACTCTTTTTCCTGGGTGTTATAAAACCCTTGAGACCTTTTACTCAATAAGTGAAAATATTTCATGTTTGGTGAAAAAAATCTATTTCTATATTCTCATCCAACTAAATCCATATAGCATATATTCATGATCTGTTTTCTAATCTTCAGAATCACTCAGCAATACTTTGGGGTATTCATAAGACTTGGAAAAGGATGAAAGTATTATTAAACTGTGAAAAAAAAACTGCAACATATTGTCGCTAGGAACTAAGATGCTGCTGTGATTTGTGTGGGTATTAGAGAAGGGGCATATGACCCCAGCAAGAGATTCTTAGTAACTACATTTCTAGGACCATTCTGAAATTCATCTAGGAGTGAACTGACAGATTGTACATAACAAAAGTCAACTTATTAAAATTGTCTGTTAGGGTGTCAGTCAAGAATAGAATTTGACTGTTGGACTTCAAGAGTCAGGTGTCTGTATTGGTGTTTGTCATTAATATTTACAGATTTTTCTTCCACTCATATCTTTAACACATGGAATAGTGCCTGAGCCACAGTAGTTCAGTGAGTATTTACTTAATTACTTAATGAATAAATGAATTTGTTAGCATTTCCTCCCATTATTTTTTGGTTTTACTTTGGGTGAGATGGCATACTGTGAAATAGATGTTAGGTATATGTTTGTGTTCTTTAATTCCCCTAAATGATTTTTATATATCTCTAGTTAGTAATTTATTAAATAAATAATTGATATTGGGTAGGAAGACAGAAGAACCATGTAGAAATTTCTTCAGGTTATATGGAAAAGGATTTCTCTGGATTTAGGTGAAAATGGAAAGAATTTTTTGAAATGGCCCCTTTCTCACTTTTAACAACTAGGGGAAAAATGCCAAACTGCAGCATGAGCTTTGCTTATGGACGCTTCCTAAATACTACTCCCAGGCTCGCATTGTTTATTGCTCTTTATTTCTTCTGCCAAGCTTTTGCTGCAGCAGAGGGGAGGAGGCCTCTCTCTCTCTCCTCTCTCCTCTCTCTCTCTCTCTTTCTCTCTCTCTCTCTCCCCTCTCTCTCTCTGTCTAAATGTAATACTAGCAACCATGAATGATGTCATACTTACCAGTCCATAATGATAAAAAAAAAGCATTTAAGGATAGATAGATAGATAGATAGATAGATAGATAGATAGACAGATAGATAGATGGGTATTTATTTTATATATTTGGAGAATCTATAAGGAAACTTCTAGAATCGCAATAGTTTTAGAGAATGCTCTTTTCCTTGTTATCATTTGTTTTTATTAATAAAACTCTTTTTGTTGTTAACTATCTGCCTGACAATATCCTAGGCTCTTAACATATATTATCCCATTTATCTCTCCCTATATCCCTGAAAGGTAGGCATGGTCTCCATTTTACAGATGAGTTAACTAAGACTCCTATTGAGCAATCAAACCAAGTGTTGCCCTAAAGCCCTCATATAAATCTCTAACTACTACATCTTTTTCTAACAGATTTAGTTATGTTCATGATAGTTATGTTACTAAGTAAGGTTAAAACAGTGTATTTGTAGATTCTAATGTATATGTAATAGAAGTGAATGTCCTCAAATAGTTATAACATTCGTCTCTCATATATTTTATATGTATATGTATTTACTATTAAGTTTTGCATTATATAGATTATGCTTAACCTGGAGAACTTTTCTCAAAGAAGAATGTCTTATATAAACTAGAACATTTTAGCATAAATTCATAAATCATTTCCCATGTCATTACCTTGAAATCATGTTACTGAATTGCATAGTCTATATGAGAACATTAGCTAGAGAATTAAGAGCTAACCTTAATTGTTATCATATCTTATAAAGACTTTTAAAATTAAATAATGGTAGAAGAAGGTCACATGTCCAAAATAAGTAAATAAGTAGGGAATATTGTCATGAACGGTGTGAAAATACTACATCAAACTCAAGGACAACTAAGCAAGCCATAAGAGTCACCAAAGGTACTAGCAATTGCACAAATATGTATAAAGACCTGCAACTTGTGAAGAAATAGACACAGCAGAACACTTCCCAAGCTTAGTTGGGTGTAGCAAGTTGGACATCAAAGCTCACTGGTGCCATACCAGAAACATGACTAATTCATTCAGGGCCTTCACTGCAGGGGAGGATTACTAATAATGGAGAAGGGACTCCACACCAAGTGTTTTATGGAGGATGAGTCTTTTGAGGTGGAAATTGGGGATAAATAGAAGTATTCAAGATGGTGGAGGGGAGAGGGTGAGTAATGCATGGAAGAGCTCCAAGAAGGGAAAACAACATTAGGGAAGGAGTTGAAGGAAATGAACTTGCTTTACCAGGTAGTTCTGATTTATATTCTAGTGTATAGGGCAGATGACGGGGATTGTTAGAAGAAAAGGGTGGAAAGGTATGTGAGTATTGTTATGTTGTACCATATGAAATGGCTAATGGTCACCCTTTTTGAATTCTAAAATAAAATTTCCCTTCAGTTCAATGCAATACATTAGCACAAGACTTTAAATACCAAGTTGAGGAGGTTTTTGCTTTGTTTTCCTTTTTGGTGTACAGTGGGAAGTTGTTGACTGTATTTTTGAACAGGAACAATTTTAACCAAACTGTTTTAAAATTTTTTATTTTATAACTTTGGGTAAAATAGAGAGTTGAAGAGAGAGCATGTTGTAAAAAGCGTCATTCTGGATGCTGCCATAGAAAAAGCCAGGAAAAAAAATATAAAGGCCTAAAGAGCCAAAGAGGGTGTTGATTGTAATATGAGAAAAAAAAAAGGTCATGAAAAGGAATAAAATGCAGAAAAGGGATTCAAAGGTAACTCTAAAGTTTGAATTTGATAACTGGAGAAATGTTTGAGAGAAAGGTAGCTGAGAGTTTTTTGAGGGAAGTAGTCTTTCATTTTATTGTTTCTTGAGTCTCTAACAGACTGCTTGCTGTATAGTACATAGTTAACAGCCGCTAAATACTAAATGAATAAGTGAAAGTGTGAAAAAAAATGAGGACATATGTACAGGGCATATGTACAGGACGTGAGGGATGGACCTGAAGGAGGAGAGGGCTTGTAGATTACAGAACATGCAGACTCAGGGCTGGGGAGGAAATTATGTGGGAAGGATATGGGTGGCATTATCAAGAAAAATGATGAGATTAGGACTAGAGGGAAAACTGTTTATCAGCATCCACATTATGCATGGCAAAATGAAAGACAGAAAGTAACAAATGTGAAGGAAGAATTAAAAAAAAAAAGTGAACGAGAGCATAGGCAATATAATGTACAACAAAGCTAATACTCAAATTCTTCAGAAAAATTAAAGAATAAAGAAAATGTTGCTATTGTTGGCTCAATAATGTTTGTTATAAACATAATAAATCCTTTTTTATAATGTTTCAATAATGTTTTCTGTTATAAAAATGATAAACTCATATTTTATAACCTGTAAAATTTATAAGAATATAAGGAAGGAAATAACAGTCATCCAGAATTGTATAATGTAGTTAATATTTTTAAAATATTTAGATTTACTTCTTTTCATCCTCTCGCATTTAAATTTATATAATCAGGACCAGGAGAAGACATATTTTAATTCTGCCTTTTTCCCACTCTACAGT